CAAGAAGCAATGGGCTTAAACTGCAGCAAGGGAGGTTTAGGTTGGATATTAGGAAAAAGTTCCTAACTGTCAGGGTGCTTAAACACTGAAATAAATTGCCTAGGGAGGTTGTGGAATCGCCATCTCCAGAGATATTTAAGAGTAGGTTAGATAAATGTGTATCAGGGATGGTCTAGACAGTATTTGGTCCTGCCATGAGGGCAGGGGACTGGACTCGATGACCTCTCGAGATCCCTTCCAGTCCTAGAATCTATGAATCTATGGTTATACAGCCCAGGAGCAAATGTTTGAGATGAAGTGATGACAATCAAAGGGTATGTTTTAAAGGGAAAATATTATTCCATTACACCTCCATTTTGCCCATCCAAATTCTAAACACAGACTGTGCAAAGTCTTCCGTCCATCTCTTCTACTACCAGTTAATAAGTAATTCTTTTCTTAAAGAAATCTATCCTTACCTTTCACTAATTTTCTGGTAGTTGCTATTTGACAGACACTTGCTTTATGATAGCTATATGATAGCAATTGTTCTATAGAATATATTCATACAGCATTCACAGTGACAATTGAAATTAGATGGGAGCTACCAGGCAAATAGACATTTGCCCTTCTATAGCTTTTCAGCAGGTATAATAAAGTACTTTGCACTGCCATAGTCTTCCATCCAAGGATCTCATAATATACACAATAATTAATGAATTATGCCTCAAGCTAATATGAGATGAATAAATACGATTATCCCCATTTTACCTGTGAGGGAATTAAGGCACAGAAGTGTTAAGGGATTGGTTTTTAAATCACCCACCACTGTGAGGGCAATCAGCACCTCTGAAAATCAGACCCTAAATGGCTTGCCCAACGTGACAGAGTGCGTCAGTGGCAAAGCCAGGCTTAGAACCCAAATTTAAAGCCTATTAAACTGTCTGCTGTAACATTCATGCAAAGCAGGCATAAAAGAGGCACAAAGGTCCAGGCAGAATGAATTTGTTTTTAAAATGTGATAGAATATTTGTGTGTAATTCTTTGCAATGTTTGTCTGTCTCTAGTAATCATCCTTATCTTACCTGTGCTTTCCTAAAAATATTGTATGAGGGCTTGATGTGGATGGGAGCTTGATAGCTACCGAGTGTGGTAAAGCCCTTATCATTTATCGAGATTCATGGAACAGCGTGGCACTGGATATGCAACCAGCCCTTAACAGGAGTACTGGTTTACCAAGTCAATAGTTACTAAGTACCTCATTTCCACAGTCTGGACAATGGCTCAACACCATTGCACCAGGCTCCATCGACCAATATACCTCCTTTTGAGTGCCACACATTTGTGCAGAAAGGGTATGGACACTGGTGCCTTTCACTAAATGATTCGATTGCTTCCTGAACACCTGCTCCGCATGTTTGCACACATCACCAGGTGTATCTCCCCTCTACAACATGTAAAGGTTTGTATAATCAAGTCCTTCCACTCCCTTTAGTTTTCTGTCTCATGCAGAATTCAAGTCATGTAGTCTAACACTGTGGATATAACAGGAATTTCCTCTCCTAGTCCCACAAGCATTTCATCTAACCTACTCTTACAAGCTTCTAGTAGCTCCCCCTCAGCTACTTATCCAGGAGGTTGGACAGAGCCAGACATTAGCAGAGTAGTATAGGGAAGCTTGCATTGCCACTGCCTATGCTGTGTTTATACTGTGACAACAGAGAACTTCAACTTCCAAGGCTGATAATCTTCAACAAACACCCGTTTCACTTGAAAGAAATAATGAAAGAAACAAAACGGTAATCGTGCACCAATAAGAATGCATAGTCAAAAATACAGAAAGCCTCACATGTATCAAAAACTGATACCAAACAAATTATTTTAATCAATGTTGTCAACTTACTTTTCCAGTTGTGTCTGTACGATTTTGTAAGCTCTCGACTATGCCAGAAATGCATAATGGCCCAGCAAAACCCAACAGGTCAGCCAAGTAACGGAAGGTGCTGCTGAGAAGGATTGGCCGTCCAAAAGCCCTGTACATTGCTAACCATATAGAGGGAATCTTATTCGGCTGGTTTGCCACCTTTTTCTGGAAAACAAAGGAATCAGTGCACCAAGAATTAGTCTCATTGGCAGCTTATGGCAGCTTCCATTTTATTGCTCTCATGCCTGGTTGGATGCCCAAGTATTTCATGGAGGGGTTAGATTACATTATACATTATACATTAGATTAGGTAGACAGACAAAATAGACAGTTTGATAGATTTTCAAATTATCTTCACAACAAACTCACCCCAAAACACATCGATCTTGCTTATTATGTTTTCCCCCCCAAAGTCATAACACTATTCTGCTTCTATGAATAGTCAGATGTAACCACAGACTGCTATTGATCATTGTCATTTGTATAATTCATTGAAGGTCTGATCCATCAAATCCTTGCTCATGTGAGATCAATGGTATTTGAAAGAGTAGAGATTATTGACATGAGAAAGGGGTTACAGGATCAGACCCAGAAAAATATGGACAACCATCCTCCAGTATGTAACACACTGAACTGTCCATCTCCTGATGTCTTCAACTCAAGAATGGATGCATTTCTAGAAGATGTTCTTTAGCCAAACACAAATTATGCTTTAGTCACATACAAGTTACTGGGCTCAATACAGGGGTAACTGGATGAAATGTAATGGCCTGTGATATACAGGAGGTCTGACTGGATGATCTGATGGTCTCGTCTGACATCAAACTCTACAAAACTATGAACCATCATTCCAAAGCACCATCTTCAAATATATGCATGTGGCCAGTTTGAGGCTATATGATAGATTTGAAAATACTTTGATCTATGGAGGAAAGAGTTTGATTCAGTGGATCTGTATCCCGCAGAGCATTTCTGCATGGTCCAGGCAGTTGCTTCTCACAAACTACAAAAGCTTATTACAACAATCTATAACCCACTAACAACTCCCACACACACCCCTCAAACTGCTTCCCCACTTCCTTTCCTCCTTATCACTGCAGGGATGTTAACGGGCCACTTCACCTTGAATCATCCCTTGAAACATATGTTAACTAATTATGCTAAACAATCTGTTCCACCTTGTATGTAGCTGTGACAATCTGAGTAAGTTTCCCAGACTTGAAGAAGAGCTCTGTGTAAGCTCAAAAGCTTGTCTCTCTCACCAACAGAAGTTGATCCAGTAAAAGATATTACTTCACCCGCCTTGTCTCTCTAAAAATGCATCTGTCATTCTTCAAGAAGCACTGGTGCCTGCACGTTGTAACCCTGGCCAGGCCTTTTGTGAGTGAGTAAATAAACAAAAACAAGTATGTCTCAGCACTCTGCACGGCCACCTCATGTGTTTTTCCCCCTAGGTTTTTCTTTGGCACAAATTCAGCAGTGGTATAATATGTGGACAGTGTCAAAAAAGAAGAGGTAGCAAACATATGGGAGGGTAGAACCTAACTGGAAAGTGACCTAGGGAGATTAGAGCAGGGAGCCACAGGCAACGAGGAAAAATTCAGTACTGATAGCACAGGGAGGGGGCATAACCAAGTAGTTATGCTTATTACATTAGGGCTAGTTTATTTCTAGCTCCTCTTATTAATAATTATATTTTGATGTAGGGAAGGATAGTAACTGTAGCAGAGAAGCTGTTTGGCATTCAGCTGCTAGAGGCCAGATTTTTAAAGGTATTTAGGCATTAAAGATACAGAGAGGTACCTTGTGGGATTTTAAAAGTGTCTAACTTCCACTGAGGTCAATGGGAATTAGTCACCTAGGGGCTTTGGCAGATCCCTTTTAGGTGCCTCTCTGCATCTTTAAACATCTAAGGGCATGTCTACACTACAAAGTTAAGTCACCTATATTTAAGTCGACATCCAGCCACTGCAGTAATTAAGTCAGGCGGGCGTGTCCACACCATGCTCATTGTGTTGGTGGAGTGTGTCCTCACTAGCAACGCTTGGATCAGTGCACAGAGCAGTACACCACAGGTAGCTATCCCACAGTGCACCTAGCTGCAGGGGGTTTTGGGATGCCTTGCAATGGGATCAAAACAGTGTCACGGGGGGGATGGGAACATGGCTTCGACTGCCCATGATGCAGTTTTATGCCCCCTCCCTGATATCAATGGCAAACAATCCATGTTTTTTCGTGCCTCTTTTTGAAAGCCTGGCTTAGCCACACATACGCCATAGCCCTCTAAGCAGGGACCCCACCCAGCTTTGTACTCTTGTTGGGGGCATTACAAACACCTCGTGCCTTATCCTGCAGTATTTCCGGAGCCAAGACAGGAGCCACCACACAGAACATTGCGATGTCATTCAAGCAGCCCTGCTGCAAGCCATAGAACAAAACAATTCTCAGTTGCTGCTGGCAGTCATGCAGCGGCTGAACACAGTGGAGCGCCCTTTCTGGTCCCAGGAAACAAGCACTGACGGGTGGGATCGCATTGTTATACAGCTATGGGATGATGAGCAGTGGCTGCAGAACTTTCGAATGTGGAAGGCCATTTTCCAGGAAATTTGTGCAGAGCTTTCCCCAGCTCTGAGGTACAGCAACACTAAAATGAGGCCTGCTCTGACAGTGGAGAAGTGAGTGGCAATCGCTCTGTGGAAGCTTGCAATGCCAGACTACTACCAGTCAGTTGGGAATCAATTCGGAGTTGGTAAATCCACTGGGGGACCTGTTGTGATCCAAATGTGCAGGGCCATTAATCGACCTCTGCTTAAAAAGGTAGTAACTCTGGGCAGCGTGCAGGACATAGTGGATGGTTTTGCCACGATGGGGTTCCCTAACTGTGGTGGGGCGATAGATGGCACGCATATCCCAATCTTTGCACCAGACCACCGTGCCAAAGAGTACATAAACCGAAAGGGATACTTTTCAATGGTGTTGCAAGTGTTGGTGGATCACAGGGGGTGTTTCACCAACATCAGTGTGGGATGGTCAGGAAAGGTGCAATCAGAGACTTTCTTTCCAGATTTCAAAATAACCACTGATGATGTTGAAATGCCAATAGGATCCTGGGAGACCCAGGCTATCCCTTGCTCACATGGCTCATGAAGCTGTATACCAGCCATCTCGACAGCAGTAAGGAGCGATTCAACAATAGGCTGAGCAAGTGCAGAATGGTGGTGGAATGTGCCTTTGGATATTTAAAGGGTCGCTGGTGTAGTTTGTTTACTAGATTTGACCTCATTAGATCTAGATATTTATCTAGATAATTAGATATCCCCATTGTTATCAGTGTGTGCTGGGTGCTCCATAACATCTCAGAGGGAAAGGAAGAGAAGTTTCTGCAGGGGTGGGATGTGGAGGTGGATAGGCTGGCAGCTAATTTTGAGCAAATAGATACCAGGGCAATAAGAAAAGCCCAGAGAGGAGCTCTGCATCTCCGGGAGGCTTTGAAAACCTGTTTCAGTAATGAGCCACAGTAATGTGCACTGCTTATCTGCATTGTGCCTTCCCATACCATCCCCTTCATTGCACCAGTTTCCCTGAACTTCTCCTTCCCCTCGTCCCCCAAACCCCTATTCTTGGAATAAACAAAGAATATTTCATTCTTGAAATGTTGACTTTTATTGCACAAACATAAAGAATCTGAAAGACCAGGAAAATAATTTAACCTTGAGCAAACGGTGTGATAAAATTGGGAAAAGAGAAACCAAGTCAGTTTGTCTGTGAAAACACAGACGTCTTGCTCATCAAAGGTCTTCAAATGGCTGTCTTTTGTTCTTAGTATCTGCCGCGGTGTTGAGTGGAAGGGATACTGTACCTTCTTTCCCCCACCCCCACCCCCGCCTCCTGGATAGTTTAGTGGAGGGGAATTGGGAACAGGTTGATGTTTGCAGGCTGTTGTGCAGGGACTGCAGAGGGAGTCTAGCCTCAAGCTGTTTTTCTTGAAGCTCAACCAGACGCCTCAAAATGTCTGATTGGTCCAGCATCCCATCCTGCATGGCATGCTCATGCTTCTGGGATGCTCTCCAGCTCTCCATGTCCAATTTTTCAGACAATGAAATCCTCCAGGCTCTGAGCTCCATACCAGCTGTTCTGGAAGCTGTGATCAGATGTTCAGCTGCGTGTGTGTGTTCTCCCTATGTGCTGCCCCAGCTCTGTGCAGACAGCTGTCACAGCAGACCTTGAGTGAACCGCCCAATGACCACAAGATCCGTTAAGGTATGAAGGTGCCAGGCCAGGTTTATTGTCGACAAAGCACAGTAATAGCACCTACCAGACTCTACGAGGATACTAAGACAAGTATGCCCATGACAATGGACGCAACTCAGTGAATGGTGGGACTTTCCATTCTCCCCTTGGCTGGACAAAGATACTTCTTTTGAGATACATCTTTATACCCTGATACAAACAAGTTAGTATTGCCTCTGACATAGTTAGTTACTGCCCCCTGACATGGCTAGTTATCACCTTGTACATGTTGGTTCAATCAAAACATCTCTATTACATACTGTCATCCTGACTTTATCTTCTAGGAGGGGTCAGTGTGTTCCTGTTATCCTTAGGGAATGTTTTTGTACCATCCTTGATATCGGGATGTTCTGGTACCACTTGATATCAAGATGTGTTTGCATGTGTACTCTATGACTAGCACTCCTTAGGAATGTGTATTTCTGCAATATCAGCCCTGTTCTTGCCAGATTCTGTGAGCAGGTCCTGCCTCAAACCAGGCCTCTGATACAAGGGCTTATGTCTCAGGATCTCTTCCTACTACTGAAGCCTTCATTATCTCATTGAACATGATACCACGCGTTCTCTTTTTCCATCTTCTAATGTGCTGTAGCCTCTCCACTGGTGTGGAGGATGTGCTGAAGGTCAAGCTTTCCACTGGGAGGTATGCAAAGCACAAGGCAACCATTGTCAGTGCATACCTGGGTCTGGTGCAAGGTTGCTATTGAAAGAAACACTCCCCTTATTACACTCAAGTATAAGCCAGAACATAATCAGAATCCCTAGCTAGTCAATGAACCAGTTTGCTGGTCCAGCCATGGTAAATATGGTCCAGCAGCATGGGCGACAGGCCTTGTGCTGCAACTTTTGGGCAACCTGTGTCAGGAGCACAGGTG